TTCACTGAGTTACGCAAGCCCCTTCGCCACGACAAGGCAGTGATCCATGAAGGGGCAAGATTTGTTAGCTTAGTCAAAACTGCTTAAAAAATAACACTGCAAGACAAACAGGCCATAAAATAAACCATGAAGAGCTATTCTTTCAAAATGGGCAGTCTTGTAATACTAATAGTGCCTCTCCTTCTAAGCTTGCTGAACTGCAGTTTCTGAAGTGTCAGTCCAATTTAAAGGTTTTTTATCCAGAGATTTCGACAGGCAGGTTTCCAACTTGTTTACTTGCCGAACAAAAATTCTACTCACTCACACATTTCCATCCACGCATACGTCCACATTGCACAGTCTAGATCAGTGTTCCTCAATCTCAGAGCCTTTAAGATGTGTGGACCAACTCCCAGAATTCCCCAGCCAGCATGGGGAATAATGAAGTTTCTTTACGTAAAGGCTGGCTGGCTAGGGAATTCTGGGAATTGAAGTCCACACATCTTAAAGGGTCTGAGATTGAGAAACACTGATCTAGATACATAGCCAATAGCACATTTTAAACCCTTATGTTTTTATAACTGTAGAAGGAATGTGTAATACTTAGCCTGTGGTTTCCAACAATGCCTGGTATGTTTCATTTTCTTACTGGTGTATTTTTTTAAAGTCTGCTACAGGGGTTTATCTGGCTGCTTTACCTACTCCTGGCGGTATTCAGATTGCTGGAAAAACCCCCAATGATGCCACTTATGAGCAGCATATATCTCATATGCAGAAGAAAATCAATGACACGATAGCCAAAAATAAAGAACTGTATGAGATTAACCCTCCGGTAAGCAATGTTGTATAAACACTGACACAATCTGAGTCAAATGCTTCTCATACCTGATCTACATCCTGTTAGCTAGTGGAGAATAAGCAAGGAAAGAAGCTAGAGGGCCAAGACTGGTCTTCAGCATGGAAGTCAGATTGCACGAAGAAGGATCTCTAAAGGTTTTCTTTTCCTGACTTTACTTTGGTATATTACAAACCTAGAATGACTTGTTCTATTAGAAGAGTAAGACTGAAAAACTGAGATGTTTGGTGTAGAAAATTTCTCAGAACAGGATTATGTTAATTTTAGTGGGGAGGCCCAAAGTTTCTTCCTTTCCTGCTCATCCCACAGAAAGCCACACAAGGAAGAGTTCCACACAGACTACAAAATGCTTCTCTTTTCTTTCTTCCAAGGGGAAATATAACATCTAAATAAAGAAATGAGGTTGCTGTGGTTACTGTAAAACTATAGCTAAAAGATGCTGCACAATTCCATACTCTACCATACAAAGCAAAGGGAAGAAATATGGTGATGGGTTAACATTGTTTGTTTTTTAAATTTACTTTCTAAATATCAACAAGGGCCATATAATAAAAAAAAAAGTGAAAAACCACAATGCAAAATAACAACATAGATACACATGAGTGCTGGAAGAATAAAAGGAAAATCTCACCCAGCAGGTCACCCACTCTCATGCTCAATACTTGGGGGGAAAAAACGAAAACAGATTTTTAAAAGCAGGCAGGCTAACTGACTCTAGGGGTGGGGGAGGCTCCCTCAAAAGGTACGAACATTTATCCCTTTAATTATTACATATGACAGCCTAAATATAGTTGACTTCTGAAAACATAAAACTGACCAATGTTCTGGAGACAGAACCCTATAAAAATAAGTAAGGAGAGAAAAAGTAGCTACAAAAGCTAAATAGGTTCAGGAATAAAAGGAAAAAAATATTCATTTTGGGGAGGATAGAAACAGCTAAGAGACCTTGTGCCTTTTTTCTTTATTTTGGAGGAGAATTGTGGTGATAGCAGTGAAATGTTTAAAGTATTTTTCTGAGTTTTAATACATATAAGCTGCATACATGTTGGCATATTGTTGTTCTGCTTAGGAGGCATCTGAAGAAATTATAGGTTCTCCCATTCCAGAACCAAGGCACCGTACGAGGTTGCTAAGATCTCAGTCTGAAAGTTCTGATGAAATTGCAGAATTGGATCTCTCACATGGCAAGAAAGATGCCTTTGTGTTGGAGGTACGTTCTACTTCTGAAAAGTTCATGTTCTACTTGACTTCTAAAGAATGAAAGAAACTTCTATCATTAGTTACCTTTCGTAGTAAGAAAATATTCTTACATTCAGTACAGATAGCGTATCTAAATTCATCTGTGTGTATGTGATTAAAAAGGTGCAGGAATCCAAAATGTTATACTCAGCATATTGAACCCTAGGACAGGCAGTCCTAAAATTACCAATCTACAGCAGATTTGTTCAAGTAAAATGTTAAGTGTGCCAGTCTGCCACCATAGGAGTTCATCAGTTATTTGTTTATTATATCTACTGACATCGAATATGAAGACTAAAAAAATAATTATTGTAAACTATTTTGGATTTTTAAGAATAAGCAGTATACAAATGTTTAAAAAAAGAAATGAAAAATAATTCACTAATATGGAGATTTAATTTTAATACACTAAAATGTTCACCTCTGTTAACAAGTCCCCAAAAGAGTTTAATTTTAAAACTCTGGGTTCATGGGTTACAATCCTCATATGGGCTGATAATACCTTTACCTTTATATGTACAGTATACAAAATATGCTTTCCACAAAGAATACGCCTTGATAAAGAACATTTCGGAGACCAAATTATTTTACATAGTTAACTTTTTCTCAGATTGATGATACAGATGCAATGGAAGATGTTCACTCTTTGTTGACAGATGTCCCCCCACCTTCAGGTATAGTGGACTATTTTTTTTATTCTGATAATGTCAAAAAATCTACCCTGACAGTATCCTTTTCACAGTATCTTTTCACAGTATGCAGAATAATCCCATGTATATTTTCTGTTAGAAGAGGTCATACTTTTAGGTTTCTTAGATTTGATCTTATAAAAAGTAAGATAATTTATTTTTGGATAACTAGAAAAGCTATGTAATTTGCAAGCTCAATAGGCACAGAATCATGGTTGGCTCTGTGCTTGTATGCTTGTGAGTGTGACATACTTTATTGTAGATTTATTCATTTAATAAATGCTTTCGGTGTCTCAGTATACTAGAACATTGGTTATATTCAAACTGAATTGTACCGATTCATTCATAAATATGTATACATATTTCTTTAGAATGTTACTAGATTGCATCTTTCTCAAATACCAGGCAAATAGAAAACATAGTGGCTCCATAATCAGCTATGCTGAAAACCTGAGCAAATGAAAGAACACCATTGTATCTTTTTTTATACTAAAAAATTGAATTTGTTCTTTGTCAGGTTTTTATAGTTGCAACACAGAAATTATGCCTGGAATAAATAATTGGACTTCTGATATACAGGTAAAATAGTATTCATATGTACAGATAAATTTTCAGAGTGATAGATAAAGTCTGCAAAAATGCTTTTCTTTCATTTCCTATTAATTTGCTCAGAATTATTTTCACCTTTCTCAGATCCAGTTTTTGGCATTATCAAAAAAAAAATTTTTTTCCATATAAATCATCTACTGTAGGCCCAAGCAAGTTTATCTGATGAGGTTTCTCAAATGAGGCACTCCAATTGAGAATGCTTTCTCTCTGGATGCCAGCTAATAGGGAGGAGAGCATTAACAAATGACTTTCATGTAGAGGCAGGCTGATGTGTAACCAACCATGATTTCACTTGCTGGGTTCCCAGGTCACATGGGGCATCTTTCAGGAACTGACCAAGAATAAGAATACTTCTTTCAACCTGTAAAGAGTAAGGAAGATGACCTTGATGGAGATACGCAGGAACCATTACCTAGGCAAAAGGGGCTGCAGCATTTTTTAAAGTCCAGAATAACAAGATGACATTGAGAAGTGGTTCAGGCAGACATTTCCCTAATTTACTAGGGTATAAGGAGGAGAGGGATAGCACATTCAGACTTGCAAGACTCTGTTATTATAGCCAATCTCCGTAAAAGTAGTTTTAGCCTCTATGTGGAATTGATTTCCTGGCCTGGTCAACCTAGTGGGGCTGACACATCCCTAATACTCTAGCATTTCTAGCAGCTAGAGAAACTAACATTCTAGAAGTTGAATATACCCCAATGACATTTTAAGCTGCTTTCAGAGACAACTCACCATATATTATGGAAAGGGACTGGGATAATAAAGCATAGCTATATAACTGTGGTTTAAGAAAGGTTGCAGATGGCCTATCAGCCTAAGCTACTTGAAACCCAGATTGGACCGTCACTTAAGTTGAGCAAAAAATCTGGGTCAAGAAGGAACTGATTGTCCAGGGGACACAGCTTCATCTGAAAAAGTCTGAGTATCAAGCTCTCAAATATATACATTATTATCCCACAGAACTTGCCACAAAGCTTTAGTAAAATAAATGTCTTATTTTACTTAAAGTTTGATCTAGAAGCTATGCTCCCAATCCTATTTTCTCCTCTCTTAAATGAATGTAAGCATACAATGCTCCATTTATTTTTCATTTATTTCAGCGAAATTTATTCATTCTCATCCACACAGGATTGTCATCATTAGCATAAAATGTATCACACCTGGTCCAGTTTGCATTAAATTATCTTAGAACATTTTTTTCTTTTTCTTTTGTCTCATACCTCTTTCAATCTCAGTTATAATTCAAACGGTAATAAGGCTCTTATTTAAACTAAAGGATGGCAATTTATGATCTTACTTTCCTGCTTCAGATGTTTACATCGGTAAGAGTCTCCAGACTTAGCAATATTACCCTAACAAACCAAACTCTCAACAAGACCTTTAATGATCTCTGTGAGAATCTCCTAAAGGTAAGAGAAGGCTTGCTGGAATTAATCGAGTTATTTGAACTATTTGATGAATGAATCATTGACTTTAGGTATTTGCTTGCTTTTCTGGCACTTTTCACTTGTAAGGGGCTGTGAAATGGGGGATGGAGCTAGTGGCAGACAGATACAGCTTTTCGCACAAGATGGGAGATTTCCAATTGTCTCCTTTATGCAGATGACTATCTAATTGTATGTCTTTGCAGACGATCACATAGGCCAGTTAAAAGCCTCTAGTTCAGTGTTTCTCAACCTCAGTAACTTTAAGATGTA